TTATAGACTCATAGACTTTAAGGTCAGAAGGGACCATTATGATCATCTAGTCTGAACCACTGCACAATGCAGGCCACAGAATCTCATCCACCCTCTCCTAGAATAATCCTCTCACCTATATCTCAGATATTGAAGTCCTCAAATGGTTTAAGGACCCCAAGATGCAGAGAATCCTTCAGCAAGTGATCCATGCCCCATGCTACAGAGGAAGGCAAAAAACCTCCAGGGCCTCTGCCAATCTACCCTGCATCTAAGTTGCATTTGCCTAGTTTATTGATAAGAAGATCATACGAGACTGTATCAAATGCCTTACTGAAGTCTAGGTCTACCACATCCATCACTTCTCCTTTATTCACAAGACTCATTATCCTATCAAAGAAAGCTATCAGATTGGTTTGACATGATTTGTTCTTTACAAATCCTTGCTGGCTGTTTCCTATCACCTTATTATCTTCCAGGTGTTTGCAGATGATTTCTTTAATTACTTGCCCCATTATCTTTCCTGGCACAGAAGTTAAATTGACGGGTTTGTAGTTTCCTGGGTGGTTATTTCCCTTTTTATAGATGGGCACTATTTGACCTTTTCCAGTCTTCTGGAATCTCTCCTGTTGTCCATGATTTTCTAAATATGATAGCTAAAGGCTCAGATACCTCCTCGATCAGCTCCTTGAGTACTCTTCCTATGACAAACTTTCGTAATGCCGAACCTAAACCTCCTTTGCTGCAATTTAAGGCCTTTATTTCTTGTCCTGTCCTCAGAGGTTAAGAACAATTTTTCTTGCTGCTTTTATGAACTTGAAAACTGTTATGTCCCTTCTGAGTCTTCTTTTCTCGGGACTAAACAAACCCAGTTTTTTCAATCTTCGCTTATAGGTTGTGTTTTCTAGAACTTTAATAACTTCTGTTGCTCTTCCCCTACCCAGTTTTTTCAATCTTCGCTTATAGATTGTGTGTTCTAGAACTTTAATAACTTCTGCTGCTGTTCCCCTGACTTTCTCCAATTTGTGTACATCTTTCCTGAAATATGATGTCCAGAACTGGACAAAATATTCTGGTGGAGGCCTCATCAGCTTAGAATAGAGTGAAAGAATTACTACTTATGATTAATTACAACACTTCTATAATGCATTCTAGAAAGATGTTTGCTTTTTTGCAATGGTGTCACACATTGACTCATATTTAGCTTGTGGTCCACTGTGAGCTCCAGATCCCTTTCCACAGTACTCCTTCCTAAGCTTTCGTTTCCCATTTTGTATTTGTACAACTGATGGTTCCTTCCTAAGTGGAGTACTTTGCTTTTGTCCTTACTGAATTTCATCCTGTTTACTTCAGACCATTTCTCTAGTTTGTCCAGATCATTTTGAATTTAATTTTATTCTCTAAAGCATTTGCAACCCCCGCCCAGCTCAGAATCATCTGCAAATTTTGTAAGTGTAGTTCCTGTGCAATTATCTAAATCATTAATGAAGATCTTGAACAGAACTGGCCCCACAACTGATCCATGCAGGACCCTACTCAATATGCCCTTCCTGAATGACTGTGAAATGGGGGACCATTGATAACTATTCTCTTTGATTGGTTTTCCAACCAGTTGTGCACTCATCTTTCAGTAGCTCCACCTAGATAGTATTTCCCTAGATTGTTTGAGAAGGTCATGTGAGACTGTATCAGAAGCTTTACAAAAGTCAAGATATACCACATCTACCAGTTCCTCTACCCCCTGCATCCATGAGGCATATTACTCTGTCAAAGAAAGCTATCATGTTTTTTTGAGATTATTTGTTCTTGACAAATCCATGCTGACTGTTATTTATAATCTTGTAGATGTTTGTGAGATTATTTGTTCTTGACAAATCCATGCTGACTGTTATTTATAATCTTATAGTCTTGTAGATGTTTGCAGACTGATTCCTTAATAATTTTCTCCATTATCTTTCCAGATATAAAAGTTAAACTGTAATTTGTAATTCCTCAGGTTGTCCTTATTTATAGATGGGCATTATATTTGACCCTTTTCAGTCTTCTGGAATCTCTCCCATCTTCCATGACTTTTCAAAGCTCTATTTAACTTGAAAACTTTGTGTGTGTCAGCCACAGAATTTGGTCCAATAAAAGATATTACCTCACCCATCTTGTCTCTTTAATATCCTGGGATCAAAATGGCTACAACAATTCTGCAAACCATTCATAATTTGATACAGGCATATCTCAAAACATCCTTTTTTGCAGCCGTAGCTCATGCTGCTCTTCAGCCATGCCTTTCCGGGAGAGGAGTGGGACTGCCCCCCACACTCACCAGCAGAAAGTTCTTCAGCCATGCCTTTCCGGGAGAGGAGTGGGACTGCCCCCACTCTCACCAGCAGGAAGTGAAGCTGCATGGCTGGATAGCAGTGTGAGCTGGGGTGACCTTGCTGTGTTTTCTCCGCTGCTGTTGGTGAATGTGTGGGTGGGGGTGCAGACTCCTGCTGCTGACACCAGCCCTGCTACTCTCTCGGACTTCGTCAGTTGGGGGAAAAGGCGGGGCAGGGGTAGGGCCTGGGCAGAGGGTGTTGTCCTAGCCCTTCCCCAGGATGGGGGCTGCATGTAGCTGGCTCCTCCCCTCCCTTGGGTCTCCCCTCACCAGTCACCTCTGCCTGCATCTTTCCACTTCACACTTAATTGTTAACTGTAATTCTACTGGAATTCCACCAGGTGGCACACTTCATCTAATTTGCCGAAATAAAGAGCGAGCTGAAGAAGCTAAAAGCGAAATAATAACAGAAACTGGTAATCAGGTGAGTTTAGTATTAAGAGGTTGTATTTTTTGTTTTGTTTTGATTCTTAAGCACTTTGCAAACAATAAGCCTTAGATGATTTTATAAGTAGTTCTCTGCATTAAGCCACCCACTTTCATTGTTTGCCATTTCAGTTTGCATATTAGTGCACACTCAGAAATCAGCAAAGTACTATTCTTCTTTCTGATGGCTGCAATTGATGAAGTTTAATTTCAGCAGCTGGTGGTTTTGATTGTTCTCCTGTGTTGGGGGAAGAGGGAGGCTGGTATGCAGGATATTGTTCAGGTGAATGATATTCTTGTACTTTACCTTTTATTTTTAATATGCAACTTCCTTCAGTTTCCTGTATGGCTGAGGCTTTCTACAGTTAATGTGTATAAAGCACATGCACATTACTATTCTGGACATTCGTCCCACTACCTTCCCAACACCTTTTCTTCCCCACTCCCTCAAAATTGATCCTAGTCTCTTCTCATGCATTTGCAGATTTTCTATCTCCTGAAACTTTACTATCCTCCCTTCTCTCCACCTTCCATGACTATTCTTCTTCACACATATTTGTTTTGTATCATACAACTCACCCTTGTGACTGCTGTTAATGTTGCATCCCCAATTGTTTAGCATTGGCACCTCTGCAATGTTTCATTCAGCATTTTACTACCTTTTTGCTGAGAGCTCCATTTGTATTAGAAAGTGACGTGGCTCTCAATTGGAGTGTTTCAACTCTACTAAAGAGTCCTTAATTTAGATTAGAATCCAACAACTTTCTTTCTATTTCTAAAGATTTCATGCTGCTTGGGTTCCTGTTCTTTGTCTCTGCTGCCGTGGTGTGGGAGAAACTGAAACTCCCCTCCTCCTCAAAAACTTTTGGCCCTTTGAGATGCAGGCATGTCAGCCCCATGCTCTTCCCCCCGCACCCCCCATGATACATTCTAGTTCCTGAATAGAAGAGAAGCAGATTATTCCCAAACAAGTAGCTAATGAGCACATATGTAAGATATGGGTATCCTACTGGTTACAAGGAAGAGACTGTGAGAACATATGTAGTATCTGAAACTGTTAATACCTTTCCCAATGCTGAGAAGACAGTGGGTGAGTAGTAATCCAATCAAATGATCTCTTCAGAGTAGCATAATTATGGGTACGTAATAATCTCTTCTGTAAAACCTTAAACAACGAATGGTCCTTCAGACTTAGAGACAAATAAAAAAATGTAGATAGTATCATGAGCTTTTATGGGCACAGCCCACTTATTCAGATGAATGGAGCAAGTGGTCCAAAGAAAAAAATAAATAGCAGAAAAGGGGATGGAGAGGGAAAGGGACGGGGGAAAAAATCTTGTCGATTAGTGTCAGTGCTAAATGAGGCTAAGAGAGTGGGCTGTAAGTGTCCAGTACTTAACTTTTGATGTCATTAGGGTGTTGAAAGTAGCAGCCTATCCAGTTCATGTCTTTGTTCAAACCTTGATAAAAGGTGTAAAATTTGCAGATGAAGACAAGTTCTGCAGCTTCTCTTTCCAGTTGGTTTTTGAAATTGCTTTGTAATATTATAGTCACTTTTAGATCCATTAATGAGTGCCCAGGCAAGATAAAATGTTCCCCAACAGGTTTCTGTGTTACCATTTTGAATATCTGATTTGTGTCCATTAATCCTTTGTCATAGAGACTATCCAGTTTGGCCAATATACATGGCAGAGGGGCATTGCTGGCACTTGATGGCATAGATCACATTAGAAGATATGCAGTTGTATGAGCCTCTGATGTGGTGGCTTATGTGGTTAGGTCCTCTGATGATGGAAGGCTCATGTTATACTTGGAGGGGGAGGAAAACCGGAGGCACGGGGCGGTGAGGTTTCTGCAAATCTGCATCTAAAACATGAGGTGCAAGAGTTGGGGGGAAATTAGTAAACAGATTTCAAGCATATGGAGGAGAATATAAGATTTGTATTGCATGGCAATTGTATGGATGGAACTATTCCTTTGCGTTACAACAAACCCAAGTGATGGACCAATTACTTTTGTGGGCTGGAAGATATGACTGTATTGGATATTAAGCCAACTGGAAAGAGTCAGCTTAATGAAGAGGTAACAAATATTCTGTCAGGAGAGGAAGATTTCTGCCAAGGATCATAACCTCTTTAGCATATTGCTCCTACTTAAGTAGATAACTTCTACATAGGTTCCATTGTGAAGAAATTGCTACCTCGATGTTCAGAGGGGAACAGCTATTAACTTTTCCAGGTATCTTAGGGAAATGTTCATTTGACAAGTGTCAATATTGATCTGATTTGGTCTGTAAACATATGCACTCTTTAATGAGAATATACATTCAATAATTACCTCAAACTTTTTGCAGCATGAGTGGACTCTCTTTGGATAAAACCTTTGCAGAAAATATTAAATCAATTTTAGGTACTTTTAATATGTGACCAGAACAGTGTGATAAGGAAATCCTGGGCTGTCTCATACTAGGGGGTTAAAACTCAAAAGATGAAAAATCTGGTCAGATTTTTTTTCTTCAGGGAAGCAAAATTATAAATTAGAGGGACCTTCTTCAGGGAAGCAAAATTATAAATTAGAAGGACCTGTTTTTTGTTTTTGTTTTTTTTTGTTTGTTCCTACACTCCCTAATACAATGGCCATGGCTAGGGCTCCAGGACTATCAATAGAAATAATAATGAAAATCCTTTCTTCTGGTTCCTCCCTCCCCATCTCATCTCTCTTTTTGCTTGCATAATTAGTATTAAAAAAAGAGAGAGTTGGTAGAAGAGGAGGCCCTTTGTTAGTGACAATTTTCAGTCTTGCATAGAACCTCATGCATACATATTATCTTGGAAATGCCTTGTCATGAGATACATCATAAGATTATCTGTCATGTTCATTTTGATACTGAACGCTATTAAAGGGAAGAGTGGGATTTGATTTTCCTCTAATGTGCTGATAAATGAAACTCCACTATGCTATGTGAAACGCAAATTTACAAACACAGTGTTGGCAAGGAATTTGCATATGAACTAGTCTAAGTAAATTTAAAATGCATGACTTTCAGTGTGCTAAGGAGAAAATATTTCCTAAGTTAGTATATGGGGGTATAGAGAAACTTTACTTTCCTCAAAATTTTTCACTTCTTCATATGCTCCATTCCCATTAGTGCATTTGTTACGTGCCTACCACTTCAGCATTGTTTTTCAAAATAGTGGAGATCATTATGACGTGACCCTGAGTATCACTTGGGGAAAACTGCCGGTTGCTTATATTTTCCAAAAATTAATTGATTTACAACAATGCCTGATTCTCTTGTGCAAAAAATGTACCCAGCTGGTCTTCTGTGACTCTGCTCTGGAAGAAGTTTACAGCCTTTTCCATGCCCTTGACCATTACACAGCAGAGTTTTAAAGACACTTCTGTTAGGACACTTCTGTTACCCACCAGAGGACCAACGGTCAACGCAATTCTGTTTAGGGCCGCGGTGTCCAAACTGTTCCTGTCATGCCCTCTATTACCAGTAATGAAATCTCTCTATGCCCCTGCTTCATTCCTGCCCAGCCCAGGTTTCCACAGCAGAGAAGCTTGGGCTGAAAGCAGAGCTGGAACTGGAGAATGGGAGAGAAATGGGTGCTAGAGAAGGAGTGAGACTGAGAGCAGAACAAGGGCCAGAGCAGAGCTGTGGCTTGAGCCAGAGTAGAGCTGCAGCTGAGGGCACTGCTGTGGTTGTGGGGAGAGAGGGGCTAGCCAGTTCTCTCTCCCCATAACATTTCTGCATGCCCCACAGTTGGGGACCTCAGTCTTAGATTAAATTACACACACAAAACTGAGTTAAAAGAACATGAAGGTCGAGCACTCAAAGATTAAGAAAATCTGAAGAATTGGGCTGTGCCCACGAAAGCTCATGATCCCATCTACATGTTTTGTTAGTCTATAAGGTGCTACTAGACTATTTGTTGTTTAAGTTTTTAATAGTATTACAGTTATACAACCATAACTTGATTTGCCCTTTTTCTCTCCCTGAGAACATGTCTTATCTTTAATTACCTTATTACACACTATTTTTTTCCATAGGAGAATGCCTCATTCAGTGCAGAGGGTAGATCTGCCTTGTGGCTAAATTGAGATTGTATAGTGAAGAAGATGGTTTTCTGTAGGATTGTTGCTGAAGTTGCAAGATGTGTAGTACAGGTGTGTGTGTGTGTGTGTGTGTGTGTGTGTGGGAGGGGGGAAGGGAAGGGGTTTGCAGGAATAGAGGGGATTGTTTTATAGTTTTAGGCAGTTGAGCGCTGCCCTGGAGAATTGGGTTCTATCCCTGCCACATAAGTTCTATACGATGCTGGGCAAGGCACTCAAAGTAAGCTTTTTGCCAGGTAGCCAGTGTTTTTGTTCCTCATTTTTGGGTGCTCAGCTTGTGAGCCTTGGAGGTCCAAGTTGCAGAAGGGCTGAGCATGTGTAGCTGCAGCTGAAGTCAATGTGCTTTGAACATAAGTTCTGTGCAAAGCTTGGAAAGCTAGGACTTGAGTTATCTAGGACTGAGCATCAGGCACTCACAATTAGCGGATGCTTTTGATCTTAATCTCTGTCTCCATCCCCTGTCTGCACAATAGGGATAGTAACACCCTTTCACTTCATAGGGGTGAGAAACCAGTACTTTTGACTTCAGTGCAGGGTTTGAATAGTGTGCAATAAATAAGGCATGAGGCCACACATTCAGTGTTGAGCTAAAACTAGGGTTGCCAGGTGTCCGGTATCGATCTGGACAGTCTGGTATTTTTGCCTCCTGTCTCATAAACAAATTCAGAAAATGCTGGACACCTGGCAACCCTAGGACACACTCAGCAACTGGGCCCAACCCCCGCTTCCTCCGCCCCCGGACACCCTGCTTACTCTCAGCAACTGGGCCCAACCCCCGCTTCCTCCTCCCCCGGGTCTCCGCCCCCGGACACCCTGCTTACCTGGTTCCGCAGGGTAGCTCTCTTCTGGCTTGACCGAGAAAACAAGATGGCCTAGCTCTCTTCTGGCTTGACCAAGAAAACAAGATGGCAACTGGCAAAAACCCTAAAGATCTGAGCAAGCGGAAGCAATATCTTCCTTGGGTCTTAGTGCTCAACCATGTCTCTTCCTATCCCTATTTTGACTCTGCATGCAATTAAAGGGGCAATTCTGTTTTGCTTTATTTATTTATTTTTTGCTTAACTCTTGGGATCCTTTTTTTTTTTTCTCTATAACTTTGGTCTCTCCCCCCCCCCCCCCCCCCCCCCCACCCGGGTATGTACATTAAGTGGTGTGGGGGGAGGGCGGGTGTTAGGTATTTTTGTTGAAACCATCTGGCAACCCTAGCTAAAACATCATAATGAGTAGCTTCTCATTCAGTGAATTCCTTTTTCACAATGGTGTATCATTATATTGCATACATAGAAGGGGGATGAATTAAGGTTGCACAGGCAACCTTAGTTCAGACATTAATAACATTCTGTTAACATAGCTTTGTATGTGTAATTTCCTAGGCTGCTTTAAAAAAAAAAAAAAAAAAACATTTATGAGGGGAAAATTCCATGATGTGGCATCATATTGACGCCTGCATGGGCCATCGGGATTGGAACCCTTAGCTCTATAGCAGAGACTTCTGCCACTTGAATTGGTGGAATAACTGATAGCAGTGGTGGATTATCATCCTCTGTGTGGACCATTATCTGTGAGAAATCATGCATTTTGCTAGAGGTTTCATAGATATTTGCTGACAGCAGAGAAACATAGGGACTCTGAAATCAAGAGTTCCATTTCAGGCCCTCGAGGGAGTGTTCTTAATAGTCACTGACCCTTCTGATCCTGTTCTTTCCCAGAGGCATGACCTTGTCTACCCATCCCTCCCAGCCCTGTCTCAATCTCTTCAATGTGGCCGGGAGGTGCTTACTTAGGCAGCTCTGGGCCAGCAGCTTGATGTAGCCCCAGGTTGCTCAAATGACTGGGAGAAGAGGGAGGCTTTGTGCACTGCCCCCATGCCCAGCAAAATCTCTCAGCTACCATTCACTGGTTTCCCTGAAGCCTCTCCCTTTTCCCTGGCACCCAGAGCAGAGAGCCACAGGGAGCACTTAAAGTGGCATGTGGCTGCTCTGTGCTGAAGGTCCTGATGGGGCAGCCCATAGGCCGGATCCAGCATCTTGGCAGGCTGGATGGCCAGCAGACCATTTCTTGCCCACTCCTGGTCTACAGTATAACTTTTTGGAGTTACTCACATGCAAATTCATAATGGTACCCTTGTCGCATTCAAGAGGTGCCTGTAGTCTTTGATGCAGAGAAGTGGAAGGCTAGAGCATGTACCTGGGTGTCAGGTGATCTAGATTTTATTCTCCGGTTTGTCACAGATGTGTGTCACCTAGGGAAAGTCACTTAGTCATTTTTTTTTCTGTAAAATGGCGAGAGTAAGATTTAACTGTGTCCCTCGCAAGGGTGTTGTGCGGCATAATTTGTTAATGTTTGTAAGTTACCACATGATCTTTGGGTGGTCGATGCTGTGCCAGTTCAAAGCTGGAAGATCAAACGTTTTATTGTAAGAATTGGTTGGCGTTCAGATGCTTATGTAATTGAAGGTTTGTTTGTTTGTTTTTTACTAGCAAGTTGAAAGTGCTCTGCATAGTTTGTGCAGCATTTTGCAAGCTTTTCTGTATAATTCTGTAACTATGTTATATTACTGGCAGTAGCCACGAAGGCTCCTGTCTTGGCCTTTTCTTCAGCAGGGATTGAATTTATTGAGTTTTTGACTTCTTAAAAATGTCTTGCTCTGTTTTAGGGGCTAGAGTTAAAACACCAAACAGTATTGTGACTTCAGATAGCTTGGGTCAAGTTGTGGATAAGACGTTTTGCATACAACTTCAGGTGCAAGGTTTTTACCCTATTTAGATGAAAATCAGGAGCATATTGACTTTTTTTTTTCCCGGTGGGTTTCATAGATATCAGTATTCCAAATTGGTTGTAATAATTCCTTTTTTTGTTTTAGAATGTCTTTTTGCACATTCTGGATATGTCTAATCCCAAGGGCATTTGGGAGTTTGCAGAAAAATTCAAGACTGAACATAAGTTAAATGTCTTGGTAAGTTTGCAAGTTTAAATTCTCTCCCCTTTGGAGTTTTCGGTTTGTATCTCTCCTTTTAATAGTATGACCTGTCTCATTCTGCAGGCTTAAATTGTATATAATGCTGCTGCAAAAATAATCTACCTAGTCCACATCTCTGATCTTGTCCAGCCCCTATTTATTTATATATATTCTCTGATCTTGTCCAGCCCCTATTTATATATATTGCTTTGATACAGAGGACAAATCTATTAAAAGTCCTTGTTGCAGTCTTCAAGGCCCTGCACAACTTTGCTTCTGTTTGCCTCTTTGCTCTTGTCGTCTTGTTTCTTCTTTTACTCCACAGAAATAGTCTGGTGAATTCCCTTATTGCCCTGTCTGATTGGTTGGCACAGAGACCAAATGCAGAAGTGATGTCTAAAGCCCTAGTTTTAAATTAGCATCCATATAGATGGCTCTAGGCACAGAGCCATGTTGATTTCAGTAGAACTTTGTGTGGGTGCATGGGTCTATCCCAGGAGTGGCCAACCAGTTAGAAACAAAGAGCCAAAATAGCGGTGGACAGAATCCAAAGAGCAGGGGCAGATATAGGGTAGGGCGAGCGGGGCAGCCGCCCCGGTGCCCTGCGCTTCGAGAAGCCCCGCGCATGCGCCGTGGCAAAGGGGGGACCCCATGAAATTGTGCTGCCCTGGGCCCCGCAAAATGGTCATCTGCTCCTGGCAAAGAGCCATGTACTGGGAGGAAAAGTTGTTGAGCCAAAAAAAAAAAAAAAAACCCGCACCAGAGGAAAATAGGTGCTGGTACTCGCTGTCCCAGGGAGGGGGTTCCAGGCTGGACAGTGTTGGGGTCAGGTGGAGGATTGGGGTGCTGAGCAAGCCACAGGCTTGTGGCTATGAGGGGGGGGGAGGTTTGGGT